TTTTTTCAACGTTTGACAAACCTCTAATCTAAACACGCACGGTCTAGAGCTCGCTTTGTGTGAGAAGTTTCTGTGTGATCGTCCTCATAAAGAACACGGGCTGTTCAGACTTACGACATTCCGATAGCGACTAATCGCATTCCTCGCACCCTCCGAGGGTTTTTTTTTATCAGAGATCGTCAGCTGAGGGTTTGCTGTGACCTGCTTCCCAGCTGATCTCTCCTCTAACACACGACACAGTAATAACCAGAACAGAGGATCTAGCCCTGTGAAATAACACACCCTTTATGACGTCAACAAATAAATAGTTGTCAGTAACACCACAGACATGCATAGGGATGTTCAATTTAATTCTTTTGTATATGGTTATGATCGCTGGGTAAAACTCGTCTTTTGTTGCCTGTTGCTGAATAAGAGTAAGACTACTACAGGACTCCTTCTCAATGGGTCGCTGGTCCAATCCTTAAAGCCACTATATTTTTGATACCGCAGCTAAAAACTGGAAGAAGCTTTCCTTGACAATTATGCTTTAAATAACTTCATCTTGATCAGCATTGTACGTGTTATTAAATTTACGGAAAGTAAATAAAGATACGTCTGGGGGCATTCGCCTATTGGGTCTGATGATGATTGGAGTGCCCAATAAAAATCGATCCCCACTTACCATCTTTTGTATATTTACCGTCTTGTGAGTAACAGTATAAGCGTAAATATATGTTTTAAGTGTTATAAGACGTATCTTTATTTACTTTCCGTAAATTATGCTTTCAACAAAGAGTCATGACTAAAGAAACAGCTGATCTTAGTAACAATAAGCTGCAAAAAGCATCTGAGTTAATAAACTCGTCAAATGGTTATGGCTAAAAAAAAAACAGCTGATATTAAATAGTTAGTAAAGCTGCACAAAACATCGAAATAAAATAATCAATACATTCGCTATACACTCATCTTTAAGTTAAAATGCGCACCTCTCGCTAACATAGCGTTTTAGTAACATAGCTGGGTTACTAAGAACTAAGAAGTTATTTTCATAGTGATCGCCTAAAAAAGGTTGCCAGTTCACTCATGAAACAATTCACTATTTTTTATTGTTCGAAACAGAGCCCAGTTATCCTTGATTATTTGGCTTTTAATACATTCCTGTCTCGGAACGTGTTAAGAAACGATTAATCCTAGTCAGTAACAAAAGCTGAAGGTCATTTAACTCTATTCTAACATTCATATACAACTTAAAATACGCACCCTTAAAATGAGCTGACTGCGCTTAACGCTCCTTTGTATTGTTCATGCAGAGTTGGCGCTCATTTACATTATTTTTCGTGACTTCATCATTGAGAAGCAAGTTTTTCTCCATAACGTCACCACGAAGTAACGCACTGCAACGCTCCTTCTCTTGTGACGTCATCACTCTGTCTTGCGTCTACACTCGACTGATGACGATCGTAAAACATTTACGACTGAGAAATGGACTACAAACATGCACAACTGCAGAGAAACAGTATAAACGAGAATGGAATGAAGGGTGGAGAATTGTGACGTGGAATAAGATTTTGTTGAAGGAGGATATGTGGCTTTGAGGGAGCATTATTTTATTTTAAAACGAGGTTAGAATGTATTTTCAATATTTTAAAAGGGGTACACTTCCGTATCTGTTGTCACAAACAACCGAATAAAAAATTGTTCAACATATCGATTATTTAATTCGATATATCGTTCCAAAAATATATCGAATAAAATAATCGATGTATCGATCGATATTTTCATTCGGTTTTTTACAACAGATACGGAAGTCTACCCTTTAAAAGTGATGTTCTACACAAACGATTTCTCCTGCGGATATAATGTCGTTATAGAAAGAAACTAATGATTAACATATGTAATCTAAGATGTCATTTAGATCGAATAAACATATTTTAACATCCAAAAGTGAAAACCAATAAAGCTATATAGTGTAAATGACTGTAATACAAAATTTGTATGTTTAAAATAAATAGACGGGTAAAATAAAATTAAAAATTGAAATGTTAGATAAATAACTGTTGTCAAGTATTTATTTGAAAATGCATTAACAAACTGCAATAGAATAGATACATTGTAGTGGGGATTTCATTCTGTGATTTTTTGTCAGTTTAGGGAAAACCATGGATTTCAGGATTTCATCGCAAATGTTAACAGATTTATTTGGAAATGATGAATGTAATGTATTTTATGTAACATGAAAAATTAAGATTAATGTGGTAATATTCATTTGATCAAATTCTCACACATAAGTTACTATACTATACAATATGAACCCGGTATTTAATTCTACATAGTGAATGTTAGGTCTAGGACTCCTCATGAATGTTAAAATGGTACAAGTTACCTTACTTCCACCTGATATTTGCTATGACAAACTTTTACCCAAGCAAATATGTTTTAAAACATAGATTCCTTAAAAATGTGGCTTCAATCAATAACTGTCTGAGATAGATCCAACATTAAAAGTTTACTCTAATGAGAGTAATTAATGAATAAGCCTTTTGATTTGATCCATTCATCATTCATAAGCCTGTGACTGAATCCATATGTTCATTCATAGACTGAATTATTGTATCTTTATCAGGCTGCTGCTCCCAATCAAAACTTATCTGATGCCATCCATCTGTTATTTATTAGTTTACATCCTTATATGGTGGCTTTGTTTTTGTCAAGTAAGAATAAGAATCCATTTATTGTCATTTGTCAATTTACATTGCTATAGACAACGTCATTAATTAGTAGTAATTAATTAGTAGTTATCAAACACTTAACTGATATTACCAATTGATTAAGAATCAGACACTTAAGGGATTATATCAATTTGATAATAATTATAACATAATTGAATACCGGTATTTCAATTCCAAGTGTATCAATTTCTAGGTATTTCATCTAGGTGATATCAATTTAGGTGTAAAACTATTTCAATAAGAGAAAAAGAGAAGAAAATGGACTTTTAAAAAATACTCTCCATCTATCCATCCAACTAACCGCGTTAATCTTATTATTTGCTGTAGTAGTGCATCCACCAAGACCAAATATTTAATGTAGGTATACTGAGGGTTCCTTTATCTGTAACTACTAGAAAATAAAACCCAAATGAAAATGTACTAAAAGAGGATTATTTACTTTGACCTTTCACGGGATAGAACAAGTTTATTATTTAATGGGGTTGTCAACATAGTTCAACATTTAATTGTGTTATGTACTCAAAGTTTGTAAGTGGCTAACATTATCACCACTTTCTTATGATTTTCTTCCAATTGGAGTGAATATCAGCAGCATTGATTAAGATATCTATTATATTATTAAAGTGATACAATCAAATTTTACGTAAACGGTTAAGGCCATTTACCAAATAAAAATATAGGCATATGGCATATCAAAATTAAGCTTAGAGTGTGTAGATTTGCCGAAAAGTGTTGATATGGACGAATTCCCTAAGGGTTCTGCCCCACAGGCTGATTTCCAAAGGGCTACGCCTTGCATGTTATGGAAGTTAACGTTATTCGATTAATTTAGTGAACATCAGCTGGCCAATGCAATTGACAATATAGTTTTTTTGTTTACTTATTTTAATATTTACTTTTATGTTCTTGAAAGAAGTGCGGCGAATGGACAGTGAAGCTATTTCTAGCTGTTTGATACAAGGATACAAGTGAGTGATTAAAGGGGTTCGAAACACGATGAATATGAGATTAACAAACCATGTATGTTGTTCGTTCTCTAAGAGGTTGTCACCAATCTTTAACAGGTCGCAGTTTCATTGAAAAGTGTTAAAGTAAAGTATTAAAGACATCGTGGAAGAGAGCTGCGTGTTCAGGTACAACCTTGGCCAACCTTAGGACGTAAGGTATGAAGGTTCCACAGCTTTTAACATCCTTTCAGATGACAATTTCTCGAACTTGGGCCCTTTAAATGAAATATAAATTTAAAGTTGATTAAATTAATTTAATGGTGGCTTCTGTTCACCCGTGAATTCGCGGGTAGAACCTCTTGTTTTATTATTATTTTAACAAAACCTTTGTAGTGATTTTGTCACTTTTTAATAAAACTAAGGTTTCTAGAACAACCACGGTTACACGAATCTTAGACATCCTTTGTTTGATAGTATTTTGATTTTCCATACAAAAGTCTACTCTAAAATAGTTTTTTGTTTTAAGTAAATATATTTTCTTTGAACTTAGAATTCTGCATACTGTAGGATGAGATCCAAACAGAATATCCTGAATACCAACTAATTAAGCAATAGCATTCAACTCTATCAAGCATATTAGGATGATTGGTTTGCTGTCTGAATGTTGATTGAGTCAAATGTTTCTTTTCTATGTTTTACTTTCGCACTATCAGTCGAAGTAAATTTACAAAACAAAATAATAGGTGTTCTCAATGTCATAATGATTTTTTTTTAATTTGTAAAATGAGAGAAATATGGTTTGCAAAAACTAAGAAATGTTGGCTTGTTTACGCTTTTATTTTAAAACAGTAAAACAGTTTATTTTGATTTGATTTATCGTTGTAGTACTACCACCTGTTATATTGTAATATTACTACTGCTTGATTTATTGTTGTGCCGCCTGTTGTATTGTAATATTACTACTGTTTGTTTTACTGTCCTATATCAAGGCCCCACTAGAAAAACAGGCCATGCTGCAGGATCCATGACGTCACACTAGTGGATGGATTTCATTGATAAATTCATTGCCATCGCCATTCCCATATGTTTTAGGTAAATAAACAAGCTGGCTGTTTGTAAGATTTTAATGGTAAGAGTTTAGTACAACTATCCACCACTGTGACGTAGTGTTGCGCTGCCCGTGCTGCAGCATGGCCTGTTTTTTCTAGTGGAGCCTTGCCTATATCGTCTGTTGTTTTGTAATATTGCTACTGCTTGTTGAATTTCTGCGTTGTATTGTAATATTGCTACTGCTTGTTGAATTTCTGCGTTGTATTGTAATATTGCTACCGCTTGTTGTCAGATGGTGAACGTGTTCTATCACAACTACACAGAGAAGACAGCTTTCACAGGACCTCTCAAGTCTAAGAGTGTTCATGATGCCATCACACTACATCCCATCAAGCTACCTAAGTACATGTACAGGCTTCACAACTACATACAGGTATGTGAGAGCATAACTTGTCATTAGTACCGGTTATATAGCAGTAGACTCTATTTCCATGTTGATGCTGGATTTAGTTTTAAAATGAGAATGAATAGTCGAACCGACAGCTGATCCGCTTTTGTCAACTAATGATTGCAGTTGAATACGTATACTTAAAAAAACATGTCCCAAATGAATGGACAAATTAAAAAAGTATCTTTATCTTACAACATCTTTAGAACAAAGTAATTTAACAAGTTCCTTTAGAACATCAATTATTTAGTATAGCATTATATTATATTAATTGTATTAATGTATTGAATATGATAGCATCTTTTATTTGACGTCAAATTCACATTGACAAAAACTAAAGGAGGAAAAAGAATTTTAGACTGCAACACACTATCGAAATTAAAATGTATGAGTGGTTCGTAAACTAATTCAAGATCAGATTCAAGAGAGGGATTGGTTGTATCAAAATCGGACCAAAATTAGTCGACTTATCGCGTTCACAGATACTCACCCAATTATATAAAACACAATTTGACCGAATAATGTTTTAGCCTCTGGTGACATCAGAATGAAAAAGTAAATTGGTCCCGTGGCCAGGTCTTACCATGCCACCTATGGTAATAGTCTACTTCCCTATAAGAAAATTTGCTAAAACACACTTTTTTAGCTTCCCTGTAGCAGCAAACTTAAGTACTCAGACGGTATTATAACTTATTTAAATACCGCATTAATCTGAGAACGGAAATATTTCTGTACGAATCTAACCAGGCAAATGGAAACTGCTGACGATTAAGTCAGCAGGTTTGCTGCAGCATGAGTATTTAATCTCAATACTGTATCATTATATCTTTTTATCAGATAACTTTATTTTAATTATTCTTTCCTTTTAATTACCTCAACCTACCGAACTCTTGGCTTATCACTACGATACCTATTTCTCCTGCCGAAACAATTATACTCATACTGCAACATGTAATTTAATTCCTAAAAAAATTTAATCTGTATGTGTTAGAGCATTGACTATAAAAGTAGTATTTTTTTAGGGTTTGAGGGTTAGAGACACGTTGCAACAGAGACTGGAGTTGTTCAGAGATCTTGTGTCGACGGCTCAGTTGTTACATCAACCTGTGGTTGGTGGCAACACCCGTAAAACCAACTGCTCAACTTGTCTACAGGATGCTGCATTACTTGGTATGTAACAAAAACATGTAAAACAATTGAAAATTTGACGCTGTAACATTTCTTGATGAAATTGTAATAAAGAAATTGTCTATTGTCTATTTTAATCCAAACTAGCTGTTACCCACGGGCTCCACCCCGTTTTACTACATAAGTATTAATAAAACTATTGATTGGTTAAGTTAAGCTGAAATAAACAAAACAGAATACAGTAATGGTAATACAAACAAATAATAACAGCTGAGGTATTTTTAACAAATGGAAAATTCCCTTTGGAAAGCAATTACGACCTTATAGGACAATTTATTAAATAATGGGATAGTTTTGCGCAAGGTTTCTCGTCATGACGAACATTTTAAGTATATGGTTTATGGGGTGTGACTTAGTTTTCTCAAAAGTTCATGGGCACTTTTGGCTTTATAAATAGAAGAAATTACCCAAATAAAACATTTACAAAGCTGTATTTTCAACAAGAAATTTGTTGATTTTAGCTTGGATGAACCTTTTGCAGTCAAGTTTGCATTATGCTCTCTTAATAGAGACTGTTAATTTGATGTATGCACCATATATGTTACTCTACCCATGCTTTAGTTTATGATTTCCTTCTGACGTTCTGACTCATTGTGGAATGTCACAAGGGGGGTCCAGGGGCGCAAGATGTTTTAGATTTGTTGAGGGCCCAAGGAAGGGAAAATTCCCCCTCAAGGTATAAGGAGAGGGGCACAGTCATTCGGGCCCATAGCGCATCACATGCAAACTGCAGGCCTATATTTATTTACTTGACAAAGTACATTTTTAGTTACAGTACTTATGTGTAAAGCTTTGTTGCATTATTTGCAAATGGTTCAAAAAAGTAAAATGATTCCAGACTTGTGGGCCCAGTATAATTACAAAGACTAACTTTATCTTGAAATCATGAGATGCTATATGGTTGGTTTCTTGCAGGAGTAGAGCTAAGTCTGAATCAGTTTCGTCCAAAGTCCTCAAGCAATGTCCTCACATGGGATTTCATGTCCAAGTCTCTCTTCTCCCATAAGAATCTGAATCCACGCCGGCGTCCTGAGCGAGCTCTCTACGTGGGGATTGAAGATGCTGTGCGAGAGGTACGCTATAGAACTTTTTTCAAACTCTAGGAACAGAAAAGAATGCAAAATATGATTGTTAGAAAAACAGGATATTGAAATGGAGTTTATAAATGATCTGGGAGCTCTGAGTATTTTGGAGGTGTGTAAAACTAAAAAGATTGAAGTTCCTGAATTTGGTGATACCATCAAATTTGTGTTAAAAGTTTGGTTTTAGTACCTATTTTTACCTCACTGAGTTTTTTTTTTTTTAATTTACAACGGTCAATTGTTAACTTATTGAAACCAAACCAAGCGACTCCTTTCCAAATATTTTGAACTTTAAACTGTAAAAACAAACATAATTTCATCTGTTATTGGAATATAGGTAATTAATACCAGTAATTAATTGACATTTTACAACTTGGTCTCTAAAATTAGCAGATCATAAGCCAAATATTATTAATCCTCAGAACATTAAAGTTAAAAAAAAAATTATAATTTGAGAGAACATAAAATAACATAGTTAGGTTAAACAATAAATTTAATCATCCTGATCCAAAACCATAATATCTCTAGATTGCGACATTTAAAAAATATTTTAGCCGATTATATTTGTAATTTTTATGTTCCATCATAAAAATTAACTAAATCCAATGGTGAGCCAATGTTCTCGATTCACAAAAAGGAAATCAACCCGAACTCAAGTTTCGCTAGGAAATAGACGAGGGTTGAAAATACACTTTTTGCCTGTGTGATAAACTATATTTCACCTTTTATTGTAACATCATGAAAAGTAAATTACTGTTCATTTAGAGATAATTTTTCAAAACTACTTCCAACTTGTTTTAAATTTTGCCTATGCAAACAAGCAGCTGCTGTCTGATAAGATTGTGTTATACTTTGTTCACAATATATAGGTGGTTTTAGGGGAAGAAATCTACCCCCTCCACTTGACCCTTACCTTAAAAATCAAAAATGTTTAAAATATATAAAAGTGGTGTGGAAACTTCCCCTCAAACCGCCTAAATTTTGAATGAAGTATAGTGTGCAATGTACATTATACTATCGATATGTCAAACTATTGACAAGGATTCAGCAAAAAGCTGCAACCAATTAACAATCAATATTTTATTTCGATACATGTGATTGCTTACAATCGAAGTTTGCAACATACTACTTTTACTCCCTAAGGACTAAAAAGGCTTTTTACTCCCTAACGAAGTACTTTATATACATAAGATTGATCATGTTTTTCTCCGTTGAAATGTTCATCCATTGTAAAACTTTTGACAGTTAATTTTCCTCCAGGTGATGGATTTGATAAACATCAATGCTGATCTGAAAGGTAGAGAAATTGACTTCAAAGAACTTCTGTATGGGTATTACCGACTGAACCCGTTGTATGGTGCTGACTACATCTTTGACTTGCTGTTGACTTATAAGAAGTTTCGTGGTCATAAGATGACAGTTCCTGTGAGGAAACATGTCTACCTGCATCAGTCATTTACAGGTACCTTACTAACTTCCCTTCCTCTAGTGTTGAGAGTTCAGCTAGCTAAGCTGACGATGTTAAGAGTTCAGGGGCTGATATAGAATATACTATAAAAAGTTGCAAAACATAACACTTATTTTTCCTAATACAATTTGTATCTTTAACCTACTTTCCGGAGGAATCCTATATTATACTCCATTCACAAAATTTAGGCTTTTTTAGGGGAAGAAATCTACCCCTTTCACTTGCCCTACCTTTAAAACAATAGCTCAAGCAAATAAAACAAAAATGTATTTAACACGTCAACAGCTGTCAATACATTAAGAAAAAAAGTGGTGGAGGAGGTTTTGTTAGTACAGTAGTTGATGGGATATAAAATATGGTATAGTTTTCAATAAGTTTCCTATCAGTTTGATCTTCTTAGTCTAAGGTAGGTATGTCTACATAATATCATAGATAAAACATACTCCCTTAGTAGATTAGTCATCCTAATGGAACAGCTGAAGCCAATTTTATTGTTAGTTCTGTATCGCGGCGAGATTCGTGATGATTGTCCGTTTATGGGCTGTTTTATGGGGTAAAAATAGGGTTTTCCCATTTTTGACCCTAAAAACGCAAAATTTTACAATTTCTTTCTAAACCATTCTGTAGAGCTTAAAAAACAAATAATTTAGTATATTTAAGCGTTATTATGCGCCTAATGGTTACGAGAAAAAATTAAAAAAGTTGTAATTTTAAAATTCACATGTTATTCTTATTGAGAATAAGTCAACTGTTGTAGTTTACTTGTTTATGAACTAATTTTGATCAAATTTGGAAAAAAACATTAATTTCTGACTAAACTACAGTACCTTTTAACATTTTACATAAAAAACACAATTTTTTACCCTTCCTTGTTTCTGCAAACCTACTCGTTAAACTAATTCTATTTAAATAGGGAATAAATGTGATATTGTTAAGGAGACATTTTAGTGTAAGTTCAATCGGGCAAATGGAAATTCGCTAAGTCTGCAGGCTTGCCGCGGCGGGGGTATTTTATTGTTAGTTCTGTACGTCCAACTGTAGAGGTTATGTTTTGTTTACAATTTGTTTCTTGTCATAGCAGTCATTTAAAACCTCGTTTAACCTAATAAAACGATATAATCATAAACAATAACTGGTCTCCTAGTTATATAACCAAATAGTAAAGCACAAATCATGAAAATAACCGTAAAATAATAGAAACAAAATGTTGTCTACACTAGCGATCAGTGTGGACGTACATGAACTAGACGCAAAAAACAAGCTTCAAAATTTACAATGGGATGAGGAGTCTACTTGTGTTGCTTAGTCTATGATAATATCCTCTCTCTGTTCCAGCAATCGATGTGCGGGAGACGTTTGAGATGGAAGATGCTCAAGATGTAACCCCTTATGCAGAGATTGAGACAGAAGTTAACACTGAAGACCTGACGGGAACCGGACTCAGACAGCCTCTAGAATCTGGTTTCCTCAAGCTCGGGCAAACTATAGATGGAACCGGTTTACAGGCACCAACGTCTCTGGAACGTAGAGGTTTCTACGACGCTTCAGACAAGCTCATCAACTTCATCCTTCCTCTCTCTGGACGCTATAACACTTTTCTCAGGTTTGTCGAGAATTTTGAAAACGTCTGCTTGAAGAGGAAAGAAAAAGTTACTCTAACCGTGGTGTTGTTTCCTAACGAGAGAGAAAACAGTTTTAACCAGTCGTTGTCTCTTGTTAACCAACTGCAGCAAAAGTACGCGTACACAAGACTAACAGTGCTCCCCATGAACAATACATTTGCAAGAGCGCTAGCTCTGGACTACGGTGCCTCTCATGTGCCTGAACCTGATGATCTCTTATTTTTTATCGATGTAGATATGACTTTCAATGCAGAAACGCTACTGAGAGTGCGATTAAACACTGTGCGCGGTAGAAGAGTTTACTTTCCAATTGTGTTCAGCCAGTATGATCCTCGTATAGTCTATAACACGCTAGAATCCCCCAACCACTTCAACATATCCCAGGACTCCGGGTATTGGCGGCAGTTTGGCTTCGGGATCGCCAGCCTCTACAAGACTGATTTGCGAAAGGTTAGTTTTATATCAGGATAACGATGAAATGATATGTGTCTTTCCTGTGTTCTATGGCCTACCTGTATTTCTTCAAAGATAAACTAGCTGATATCCTAAAATCCTAGCCCAAAGCATTTTATTGAACAAAACATGTTTTGATGTGTCAACATCGCACTACTATTGTTTAATTGCTGAATCCTTTTTTTCACAGGTAGGAGGGTTCGACACCTCCATCCGTGGCTGGGGGAAGGAAGACGTAGACTTGTTTGACAAACTGGTCGCCATCTCCGACAATGTTACTGTGTTCCGAGCAGTAGACCCAGGATTGGTTCACATCTTCCATGTTGTCCAATGTGACCCTAACCTCACAGACTCGCAGTTGGAGATGTGCAAAAATACACGAGCGTCGACTTATGCCAGCCAGACCCACCTGGCCCAGCTGTTCTGCCGTGATCAGCAAAAATACTTAACGTTTTTGAAAAGGAAGAAATCCGGAAAAAGATGATAGTTGAAGAATTGTATTATTGTATTGAATTGAAACTAAGTTTGAAGTCACACGTGATTTGTTTGCAAAACGTCTTCCATTTTATATTTGATGCTTGATTGGCACGTTCAAAAAATATAAAATATCTTGAGCTATGGAACGTGTTCAGGTCAGCAAAACTAGTCGAACAAATTTTTTTACAAAAAACCAATACTTTCTCCATATACTATGTATAGGGGGAGAAAGTAAAAACAATGTGGCAATAATATGAATTTGTTTATTAATTATTACTCACCACTTCTTTCAAAAATTGTAAAATATTTTGATTGGAACCTGCATAAACATATTTTAATGAAAACAAGATTTGATACATAGATAAATAAATCCCACACACTAATTATAAACTTGGATGTAGAAACATTAGGATGATCAAGTACTGTTTGAAAGCATTGTGTGAATGGAATCCAGATTACGGTAATCAGAATTTTAAGTATTCACTTAATTTTAACTCAATATTGTAGTTCCTAAATAAGATATTGATATTCCTTCCATAAAGTTCTACGGTGCAAACAAATTCTTCCAACCACTGGTGGTTATAATAGTGCCATATATTTTAAAAAGTAAATTGTACATAATATTATACTGTATTTTTCCTAGTGTTAAACATTTTATAAAATGTGTTTAAAATCTTTAAAAATCCATTTCAAGTTTCACCAATAATTTTCAACCCTATGTAAATCATATCATGATTTATAATCAAATAGTGTAAGGTTTTGTTTTAGTTATATACGGTTTTTCCAACTCTATGTAAATTAAATTCAGTATTTGAACTATTTTGAATGTATACATTTGATGTGATATTTATTGTTAAACAAAAGCCAATTTGTAATAAATATGTATGAAAACTGTAATTTACAATTATTGTTAGTTAAGTTACAAAGTATCATCCCAACTAAATCACAAACATAGTAAAATACAGATAAATACCTATCATTACCACAAAGCACTTCTCAACGCAATCGTCTCTGGTTAGGAATCTCTAACACTCTCTAGTGATTATGTTTAAAATGCATAAACTTGCTTGTGTCTCCTGAGAAATACCAGTCTCAAACATTTAAAAAATCTCTCTTCCAGGTATAGGTTAGAAAGAAACAGGGACTATTCAAGCCTTTAAAATTACCATGGCCAACAAACCAAAGTAAATGTTTATTGCACCAAAAGTATCCACCTTTTGAAAATTTGTTGCTCATTATATGAGGCTAATTAAAAACTTCTACGACCCATTTAAGATTTTTTTCCTAATTGTAGAAATTGATGCTTACAAGACAAAGGGCGAAACATAAACAATACACATTTTGTAAAAAGTCCCTCTTAAGATTGAAATGTTGTAGGTTTTCAACTTAACTATCTCATTGATGTAATAAGGGGTATAAAAGAACAAATCAGAAGCAAAACAAGTAAAAATATAACAATACTATTTCTAAAAAAAAGACACACACTTAAAAAATTGAACATCTTACATTTGAAGTAAAATTTACTTAATCTATGTTCTTAAAAAAGTTTTAATCGCAATTAATGATTTAGTGCACTTGCATTTTGATAGTAGAACAAGATCATTTTTTTTTTATTTATGGCTAACAGCAAAAATAAACTAATGTAGAATAAATATAAACGAAATACAAACTTTTTGCAAATGCAAAATATACCAATAAGCCTGTCTCATAACAAAGAACTGCAATTATTTTCTGATTTTAACCTGAGAACTTACTTAAAAATAATGTAAGTAAATAAAATAAACTATAATTAAGCTATACATTAATCATTCTCTATATTTTATCAAGTTTAACTAAAAGTGATAAAATGAAAATAAAACAATTACGTAGTAAAATGTACAAAAACATTTACAAATATACACAAAATATTTTTGTAAATATAATACTTAAAGGTACAACACTGGTTTATTGCACAATATTTTCTATTATTTAAAACAAATTTTGATAAAATAGACAATAATAAACGTAACAATGTTACCACAGTATATGATCCAGAGAGCTGTATAATTTTTGTAGATAAGTAAATGACATTGATAAAATCTAAGTTACTAATATAAATTATCAAATGATTTAGAAGTAGTGCGTTCAAAAAGAAACACCACACACAACCTTTTGAATATTTTTGGTTGCAATTGGGGGTTTTAGGATACAATTTTAATATTAAACACTTTTATCAGACTTTGGTTATCGCCATAGACCAGCATAGTTGCCGTAGAGGTTAGCGGGAAGTGGTCCTCCGGCAGTGAAAAGACGAGTGCCGGAAAAGTCAAAACAGTGTGTGTAGATGGCTGGCGTGTAGCGCACTTGCTGGAAACCATCCAGGTACTCCTCATCAGGAAACTGTACAACACAGTGCACAGTGAATACATAACTTATAATGAGTGAAAATGCAACTACACACTGTAATCAGTAGTGTAATTAGTATTGCAGAAAATACCTGCAGAGGCTTTAGTATTGGTAAATACTCGTAGTCAACATTAGATAGAGAACTGAAACCTGGTTAATTTGTTTTGACTACTGAATAATTTTAGTCTATGAGCTAGTAGAATTTTAATCTCGATGGGGGGTGGCCCGTGAGGAGTCAGTAAATAATATTAAACGTAAGCTAAATGAAAATGGTAATATAATAAATAATGGCAATGTGGTAAATTTTCTTCCAAAATGGTAAATAAAAAAAAACTAAACCAAAAGTAACAATGGCCTAAATTTACTGTGCTGCAATGTTTTGAATATCCAGTGTACTCATTCAATGATTGTTGAAACATATGCTTACGTTTAAAATTATTTACATGTATTTTCCTCAAGAACTTAGGACAGCCGCAGTTATGTAACGGATGAACCTTTTGAGCCGCGGTTTCCAGCAATGAACTGTACTTGACCAGCCCTTTAAAATGATGTGCATATCAACCCATACTTACATTAAAGATTATGTACCTACTACTCACGAGTTGTGGAGGTTAAAAAATGGCAATGCTTGCAATAAAAAGTTTTCATACATATAATTTTATATAAAAAGTTTGAATTTCTAACAGATTTAGTTAAAAAGATACTAAGCCTTTCCAGACTTTTTCACAGTTAATGGACTCAATTACCAAAGGGACGATTTTTAACACAAACCTACTTTGACACATTACTATTATAAGGGCTTCACACAGCACAGGGGGGAACAACAAAATATAGAGCTGAGTAGATTTTTAAGAATATGAGTTGATCTAGTCTCCACAGTATCTTCTATATTTATAAAAGAGAAAGTTTGTATGTTTGAACGTTATGAGCTTGGACAATCTTGGACCGATTGCCACGAAACTTGGTACGTAAGTGTAGAATTTCATGGAATAGGTTTATACACCATCAATTTCGTGATCCGTCCAATCGGCTTCGCCCCAGTGGTTCTGGGGTTTCCCCATGTTAACCTTATAAGTGCTCATATTTAAATGGAATTAAAAAATCTTAACAGCTGGTTCAACTAAACAATTTGATTCTGTGATGTTCAATAGCATTAAAAAGTTAATAGGTTTACCAACAGAGTGCAGCACTATTATTTTTTTTAACTTATGACCACAGCTAATACTTCAATCTGGAGGCGAGTTAGCGTAGCGAACAAGCTAACTACAAGGCAAGTAAGCGCAGCGAACGAGCTAACTAGAAGGCAAGTAAGCGCAGCGAACGAGCTCCAACCTAAAGGTGAGTAAGCGTAGCAAACGAATTTCAACCAGGACGTGATTGAGCCATGCGAACGAGCTCATCTGGAAAATGAACGAGCATTGACATAAAACCACATTAGGACAGGACGACGTCTGTCGGGCCAGCTAGTAAATTGTATAAAGGTATTGCCAATACTGTCATCACTGCAGAACTCGGTACTAGGTTGTTTTTTCTTCACTGTGCAAAATCAAACTACACAATCTAAGGAATTGTGAAATACAGATATCTTTTCCAAACAAAATGTGATCTGGAGCTATCCGATTTCAGCAGTTTTCATCAGGAGGCACTATTATGAGTTTTGCCACTAACTCAAAATAATCGAAAGGGAAAACACAATAGCAATACAACCAATTCTGCAAAATAGTCTATTTATAAGGCTTAAATGCAACTATCTGTTTGAAATAGACTATTTATTTATTTATCCTGTTCCACGTAGATGTATAAATAAACGGTATCAGCAAACTGGCACATAATTTCTTCCATTAGCTTGTCAACAACCTCTATCATGGGTAAGCAGTGTTAGTAAATATGATATTTTCAAAATAACAAATTTTTAACCCTATTTGTTACAGCAATGGTGGGTTAAAATATTTTGTTTAGAATTACAGGATTAGGACCATAACGAATAAATTTTTATCAAAACCAGCTTTTTCCTAACATCCAATTTTTCTGTTATTTTATGGAATAATCACCAATGAAAATCAAAATTTCAAAAAAATGAAAAAACGCCTGGATAACATGAATAACCTACATAACAAATTTCATCAAAATCGGACAACAGGTTTGGTCTGTAGCTCTGTACACATCCACACATACATACACACACACACAAACATCACTTCGAAAACCATTTTTTTGGGTTCAATGGGGCCCAAAACGGATATATCCTTTTAAACTCAAACTCTAAAATGTTGACAAAAAACAACTTTCTCCATATACTATTGGTTGGTAAAGTAAAAAGAAGTTTCCCCATTTTGTTTGTTTTTACCATATGTTTACTTACCACATATCCACGAGAAGCCTTGAGCACCACAGTTCTGGATGAGTTGATGGAACTTTCCAAGTATTTGTTGGCTCTGAGGTCATAGAACATGACCATCCCCAGCCCTGTGCCGATGGTAAGGGTGTCTGTTTGGAAACTGGCCGAGCGGATACCTGCAATAGACCACCACTCATTTTTTGTTGTGTCTAATGTTTATGTCAACACTCAACAACAGGTTATAGGTTAAGTTAAGATCAAAAGCCCAAAGGGTTGAAAGACAAATAAACACTGCACCAGCTGATCGATTTAGTAGTGTTGCCAAATTGTTTTCAAGCCTACACGTATTACTTGTACACTATTTTGTGTTGTTTGAATGAAATACTGGAGTGGGCAAAAGAAAAATGAGTGTGAGTAAGTGAAATCAGTGCAGGAAAGAGGAAAGGAAGTAAATGCATGAATCGGCCACTTTGCATGTTATAATCAGTGTAAGAAAACCCGCTTTGTCAACTAACTGTAAGAAAGAGTAGTTTCCACTTAAATCTTGTATTTGTAAGACACAGAATGAAAATAATTCAATCAATTAAAAACAGTAACCAATAACAAAAAACTCAAGGTTGTACAAAATAATACTACATCACTAAAAAAAATACCAATACCATACACCATAGACCATACACTTTTGGATACCAAATTAGATATCCAATTTTTAATTAAATAAGGAAAACAGTTGAATGAGCAACTTGCAACGTGTACTACAATATAACAAGCGATTTCCCTCCCCGTCATTATTTTACTGCGTCATTTGATGTTACAAAAAAATCGCTAAAGTTTACAATAAGTTTTCCTTGTAGTTTGACTTGTTTAAAAAGTAAGCCTATCCAACAGAAGTCAGTAATTTTCTTCAACAAAGTAATTTTCTCAATTTTTGTTTCTGATCCACATTGGTGTCATATTACAGAGGAGATGAAAAAGTGAGAGAACGTTTTTTAAGCGCTTTTGGGGAAAACATCCATATCCATATAATTTGTAAATGTGCCGGGAATTGAACCTGTCCCTCCCCCACGGAAGTCCAAAACGCTAACTGTAAATAGTTGTAAGTAATTCAAAATGCACATTGTTACAAATAATAAAAGATTGTTAAAGATTTCACAAAGTACACTAACCACTAGGCTAAGTTAATTTCTATTCCAAGACTGGACAAAACACAAACTTGGGAATTAAATGTCTAGTTTAATCCATAGTAATAGGTAAGACTTACCACAACCACTGTATCTAGATGAGATTTTCTTGATGGCTTGGACTGTACGGGAGTCCAATAGTAAGGTGTAGGACCGGCAGCCGACGGCATACATAGAACCGTTGTCCCTCACTGCCATACAAACATTCTCCTGTACCGATGGTAGCTTGCGAGAGATGATCTGAACAGAATCAATCTCCGTTTACTAACGGCAAACAAAGCAATCACACTCAGGATGAAGGAACGGATGGATATACAACTAACTTGCCCAAGAAAAGAGTTACAGGCAGTTGAAACACACAACAAGTTTACAAAACAACTGCCATTCTACTTCTTTCATGAACAATATTCTCTGTATCATATAAATCGTTTAAATTACCTATTGTTTGTAAAACTAGCCATTGTAGTATAATTAACTGGGTACAGATGTTTTGTGCTGATGGAAAAAGAGCACATCATTAGGTTAGGAAACAGTAGTTTAGGATATCTTGCTCTAATGATCCCTCATGATGGAGTGTGTCAGGAGATTTACATTAGACGAAAGAGGCCTAGTACAATAAACGAATTAACACACAGAAAACTAAACATTCATTAAAACTGGTCAACCAGACGCTGAGTCAACATGAGCCACAAAGCCAGTGGAAGGTTAGTCGCAGAGGGTAATTGGAAGGCAAGTCGCAACTTGATGATGTGCTCTTTTACCGAAACCACAAAACAGCTGCAGTTAATGATACTACAGTATCTATACTTATTTAATACGCAAGCAGGATTTTTGTGACAATTACTCCTCCGAAACTACTGAACCGATTTACATGTTTTTGGTGTCATTGGAAAGAGCGTAACGTGAAGTTGTGCAGGGAACTTTCTTTTTAGGTAAATAATTAGAGAGTGAGGCCCTAAAGCCCTTAAAGGTTTCGTATTTCTCCATAAGATTAACATGGGAAACAAACATTGTTTTGAAACTCCAGCTGTTGTCAGAAATTAAATATTAATAATTGGTCTCCATGGAAGCATGAGAAAATTCACAATGTTTATATTTGCTTTGAAATTTAAATGTAAACAATCAGAACTGTCAAATGCCTATTTCACAATTTCAGACAGCTGATACAAAAAAATAAAACAACTATGTGGTAGGTTAATTTTTGTCTTAAACTTTATGATAGATTATTTATTACAATGATATAATAAATTATACTAGTGTACCTGTTGCTCGAATTCGAGCAATTGCGAAGCATTACAGGCAATATTTTAAAACGAATAACAGTCATAATTTCCGATCACTTTATAAGAGTTGACTCAAAGATTATGGAAATACTCAAGATGTACACAGCAGTTAGATATAATCAAAATTGTTTGTAAATATCTTATCTTTTTTTTAAAAGCTGACCTTGTTTTTTAGCGTTTTCTACAAATTTTCCCCACTCATAGCCGCATTAGGTTGTCTATAATAACGATTATAAATGAAAAAAAACAAACATTATTTCTATTTCTTCTACTGTACTTGGTTGTGTTCTATGACTTTCCTGTTTCCATTGTTTGAAAATCGACTCTTTCAATTATTGCTCAAGAAATGTAGCACAGTGTTAATGCAGTTTTATTTTTAGTATATCAAATTGGCCAGTATTTCTCTCTTTTTTCCATTGTAATTTTAAAAATTACACCAATCAAGTATCGTCATCTACAGACCAAGACCTTTCTTTAGAGACCCCTACCGAGTTTCTACACCCAGCCGTTCTCTCAAATTAGCTGTCACAAAGAAAAACAGTTTCAAATTAGTATATAGATAAGTTATTAATTATTGATTTTTTTTAAGATTTGGCATATGAGTATGCCTATGATAAATAACACCATTTCAGAGTTCTGCCAGTTTTTGCCTAACACTGTTCTGTAGAGTTTAAAGTAGCCTACACCTTATTGTCTACAAATTGGCTAAATAACTTAGGTATGGTACATTATAAAAGCTGACATCTTTTTTACGTTGACTTAAATTGTAAGCTTACCTTTTCCTGTCCATGGACAGTTTGTTAGTTAAAAATTAACCCTTTAAACTGGAATAGGACTGTTATGTAAATTGTAAGTATTTCCATTAGTTAATAATCTTTTAGTTGACTCTTTTAAAATCATCAAAAATTATGACTGTTATCAGTTTTTTAACAAGTCATTTGTTTATATGTAACTCCTGTACATCTTTGCAATTGCTCGATTTCGAGCAACATGTACACTAGTAAGGATTGATTTGATAAACAAAATACAACTTCAACCCTAATTAGTATTCTGCTTCTTTTTTCTGAAGAAACAAAGGAGCGATATATGAAATTAATTGTGTTGTGAAATTTTTTTTAGAATCTTGGACTTTTGATTTAGACATCCCATTTGTATGTAAAAGTTAAAACCAGTTTTAGAATAAAATTGAACTTAGTTTAAATACGCCACCGACAGAGTGTGTTGATTTTAATTAGGTATTCATTTCTTTCCAGCATGCCAACTTTTCAACCAAGCGAAAACCAAAGTACAACTTATTGTTAAGTATAGCATCCAACCAACATCACACACCTACTAACATATTATCAAAAGCTTAAAAGAAAATATAAATAATCTGACCATACCTTTCTCTCAGTAGCTCATTACGTCATTCAATAATGTTCTATTTGAATAAAACATTGGCGACAGCAGGTTCATATAGATTAGTGATTAGATGTCTACATCAGTTTATAAAACCTTTGAATGATATCTTTGACTGAATAATAATCTAGTTTTATTATGTTGCAGATAGTGAATAGTGCATTTCCTCTTAAGAATCACAGTATGACAGATTGTCTAATCATTCCTTGAGTTAACCGGATTTTATTTTTTGTTCAACTGTTTAGAGGCTAAATTAACATTATGACTCTCCCATTCGTTCTCAATAGACTATAATACTTAAAGTAGGCTTACATTATTCCAAAGAATTGTGGTAGGCCTATTAAAAATACAGAGGCTAGCATAATGGTTTTGTCAAAAGAAAGGCTCTAGGCCAAAATTTTGAAAAGCGATAGCAGCTAGCTTACCTGAAAAAATATAGGATGGCCCATAAAACATACAAAATATTTAGGAGACTTTGTCAAATAGCACTGGATGAATTATTGAGTACTCCAGTATGTTATATGGCCTATATTTACTTTTTCTAAAGTAAGCTAACTGCAACCGCTATATTCTGACAATGTATTAGAAGTTATCACAGCCTTATATCAAAGACAATTATAGTTGAGATTTTAATATTTTAGAAAATTGTACCGGTAATCAATACATCGTTACAAAATAAGCATAAAATGCAATTTTTAACTTCAGCGTACTTTCATCCTAACAATGAAACTTATTAACCCTATCTCTGTACACATCGGTTTTCCGACGCATTTACACCATTTGTGAACTAACTGTCAAAGTCAGAATTCCAACACATTTAGCAAGCGTTCACTTGAATGCTCACCGTTTGCATAATTTTAATAATTTTGGCATGATTTTTTTCACTAAAAGTTGAAATCACAAGCTTTCTTATAGTACCACTTTGTATGTTTGGCGACGAATGTTTATATTATTTAGGTAGCAGTGGATATGCAATGTATTCAGCTGTCAGACCGGCAATGTAGGTTAGTGAGGTTAGTTGTGTGTTGTTGCCTGTGCTCAACGTAAGGTTTTTGTACATAGTGTAAATATTTTTAGGGTTAGACCATAAACATTGTGTGTTTTTGAAAACTATATTTTATTTCCTAAAGTTTGGCTATATTGAAACTTTTTCTTGGTGAAGTGGGTTGAAGTGGTGACCAATGAAAACTTTTTGTTGAAAACTGAAAATTATTTATTAACAGCATAGGATTTCTATGCTGAAAATTGTTTTTAGTACCAGGTGAGTGTCATTATTATTATATCTTCTAATATATAAAATTCTCGTGTCACAGTGTTTGTCTGCAAACTCCTCCGGAACGACTTCACCGATCGTTATGAAATTTGGTGTGTAAATTCTGTAGGTATGCGAATCGGACGTAGGCCTAAACTATTTCCCGTTTCAAAATTCTTAAAAGGGCTCCGCCCCAGTGGCTCTGGAGTTTCCCATGTTAACCTTATGAGAAATGGAATTAATGAATCTTAACAGCTGTTTCAATTAAACAAGTTGGTTCTGTTCTATGATGTTCAATAGCATTAAAGTTACAAGGATTACCAACAGGGTGCAGCACTATTATTTCTTTTACATTTATGACAACAGCTAATTTGCAACCAAAAGGTGAGTGAGCGTAGCGAACGAACTTCAACATGGAGGCGAGTGAGCGTAGCGAACAAGCTAACCTGAAGGCAAGTGAGCGCAGCGAACGAGCTCCAACCTAAAGGTGAGTGAGCGTAGCGAACGAGCTCCAACCCAAAGGTGAGTGAGCGTAGCGAACGAACTTCAACCAGGACGTGATTGAGCGATGCGAACGAGATCATCTTGAAAATTAAACGTAACGGCACTTTCTTTCCATCGGTCTGTCTTAGGGGAAACCTATAACTTAGGCGATACGAAGTTCGCCGGGTCAGCTAGCATCAGTATATAAATTTGGTGAACAAAATTATATACAATAGTTCATATTTATTGTTAATAACAAGTCTAAAAAATGTAAGTAAATGAACCCTGCAAAATAGCTAAAATCTGTGTGACATTTATGGAAATTTTTGCAAAAGAGAGAGGTTGAGCTACAAACCTCATTAACTATTTATAAATAAATTTTCTTATCTTTAAATTAGACCTTCTAAATAACAAACCTTTTGTTACAATCCTCTCAACCTATAAATATATTTTATTCACCTGTTGAAATGTTTCAGCACTCCACACATGAATGTACCCATTGAGAGACAAAGCGGCGAGTTCTCTGGCTCGTCTATTAAATGCGAGCGCCCTCACTTTCTGTGCCGATTTACACTCCTTGACGCAGACAGCAGAGATGGATTGGTAGGTGGGGATGTCGTCATCGTTACAGCTGTCTGGTTCTGATATTCTCCACAGACCCATTCGAGCATCCCGCGACCCGCTCACTAGGAACTGGTCGTCCAGCCAACACATGTCAAACACCCAGTCCCGGTGAGCTCCCTGTCACAACCACAAACACTCGTCACAAGTCACGTCTACTGCTGACAAACGATCTGTTAAGTGGTAAGAAACAAGCGACCACAATATTTTGGTTGTAAACCTTTTTAACAGTCAATAATCAGGAAGATACATTAATTTCCTCTACAGCAGCGACCAATTTAGAAACAACAACCTTAGGTTCCAGCTGTAGTGCGGATCCTGGGGTCATGGTTCGGAGGGTGTTTTGCGGAAATGGGAGGAAATAGGTGGAAAATGATGATTAGATTTGTAAGGGAATTTGCGCAAAATATTCTATATTGACAGTCCTGTAAATAATAATGCTTTGCAAGTTATAGCTTAACAGTTGCATTCATATGGATAAGAAGGTTAAAAGACAGTAGGCAAATTTAATATCCTCAATTAGGACTCAAGTTATTTTAGGTCAAATAGGATAAAATTTATTATTCAACAAGAAAACAAATAAATATTTAGTATTTTAGACATTATGGTATCAAGTAAGTAAGGTTAGTGTTGTGGGGCAGGAACAGCGTATCCTCCCTGTATTTCCCCATATTATTATACGTATATTTTTGACGACTCACCACTCAACAATGACTGTAGATGTTTCAACAATTTTAAATAGCCTAGGTAATATTCAAATATCTCTTGCTCCTGCAATGACAGTGAAAGCAAATATCCTCCACAGTTGTCAATTATTTGCTACGGCAGTGACCATGACCATCTCTTGCAATTTACGGTGGTAAAACTCCTGGGGTCATGATGCGATAATTGTGAATGTCGCAGAGACACCATCAGTCTTCCACAGCAAAATTATGACACACCTCCCGTAATCACATTGACATCGTGATCACCATCGATGTTAGCATTCCCACGTTAGAAAATTTACGACAACACCACTGCGGTACCGATAACATACTGTTTATAATAGTAAAACATGACCAATGACATTATTTTGTAAATTGTATCTACGTCGCCCTTGGTGCGCGTCTATGTCGCTATGCTTAAATCCTAGTCCGCCTAAGTACCGGTACCTATAGAAATAGGATTAAAAAAAAATATTTACTAAACATTAGTTAGAAACTCGCAAAAATTACCTCTCCGACGCAGACAGGGTCTAAAGTGGGGAGCCGATAGACAGCAATATCAGAGCTGTTCTTGGCACCGGTGGCCAACAATGTGCGTGAAGGGTTGATCTGTAACGAGTGAATGCCACACTGCTGCTCTGGTGGGAGTTCTACAGCTCGGTCGCTCCGACTGCTTAACGATGGAATTTGGTCAATTCGCTGAGTAATCACATCATATACCATGAGCTGCAAAGCAAATTATTATTTAGTGCTTCCTTCTTAACTTAGTTTATAAAAAAATGTCTTGTCTAGAAAAATAAATCTTACTATTGAATTGCAGTGAAAACATCTGCATGTTTTTCAATTATCTCAATGGTAGGCAGATATACTTATATGAGGTATATATGTAAGGCTATATATATGAAAGGATGTAAGGCTGCAAAGGCTATGTAAGTTAATTTAGTGAACTTGGCTATGATGTAATTTAACGTACCACATGATTAATCCATTTATTGTAGTAGCCTATTATAAAGAAGAGGTGAGTTGATGTGTGTTTCTTAAGCACGGGTCACACTAGGCTGCTCGCCAGCTGCTGGTGATCAGCGTCCGTGGGACCTCGTTAACGAATACTTACCGTAAGTGATTAGGCCTATTGAGGGTGTATTGAGAAAGAACAGATGTGAGATTTTGCAAAAAACTCACTGTAAGCTGCTTCTTTGAAGAGGTCCCACAGGCACACATAGTTTTGAAGTAAATTTAAAAGAAATCAATAGCCTGCTTCCCCGGTCACCTAAGCTCAGTCATTTCTATTTCTACGCTACAAATTACTACTTTTACCAATGAGAACCTACGATATATCATCAGATTAAATGTCCATCCAATAACTTATAAATATTGATTCAAATACTTCATTCAATGTAAATAATGATTTTCTGTTATTATTACGGGTCTATTGTAACTTAGAAGAGGGCTGCCTGCCAATCTTTTACTGTGTGCTGCAACGTAAGTTATACGCTAACTCAGGTTAATTCTTTTAGACCAGTTTAGAACCGTGCATAATGTAATGACGAAGAAGATATATGTACTGTACAAAATTTACCATTATAATCTCATGAAAAAGAAAACACTTAAATACAAGTGACTTAATTGCAAATAGAGGCCTAGGCCTATATCTCTTTCTAATTAGACAACATAGGCTTTCAACTATTTTTATAAATGTCACCTTGTTTGTTATTTTCATAACTTATAAGCCAAACTAGGGAGGTAACCTATCCTATCCGCTGTATAACACTGTAAAAGATTGTTCTTAAAAGAAAAGTAGGCTAGATTGCTTAACTTAGTTAACTTATGATTTTCAAATTCAATACATAGGTAGGCCTAATCGTTATTTTTGTGTTAAGCAATATAAGTTAGGCGTATCTGATTTGATTTATATATCGAATATGCTACATAGTATCTATAATTAATTAAGTTAACTTAAGCTTAGTATCTATAACTAAGTTAATGATCTGCAGGTTGTCAGGTTTTTGATTTCATTTAGGTATAAAATTCTAAATCTCCACATCAAAATTAAGTTAACTTATCGAGCCAAACCCACTAGGCCCTAGCAGATTCGATCAATCTAACCTTAGGTAAATGGCAAGCTGGGCTTGGTAGGTACGTACCTTGTTACACTTAGTACCAAATGCAACTTGTCTATCACTTAACCACTGTGAACAAAACACTTTGTTCATAGTGTTCAGTTGAATGGGTCTTTCTTTAAACATGTCATTAGTTAGTATATGACGTGAACCATAGTTAGTTTTAAAAGATCTATGTTCTTTTAAACCACTTTCTCTACTTCGAATGAAATCTGCAAAGTTGTAGGACTTGTTTAGAATTTCTTTTTCTGCAGAGTAAGTGAGAAGTTCATCTTCATCTTCTGAGTCTTCGTAACAAACAAAGTCATCTGGTTTTTCTGGTTTTCTATTTCTCTCTGCTCTCAAAGCCCTTGCTTTGCTTTTTCTTTCTTCCAAGCGAGATTTGTAAGCACAAGGGGGTCTTGACCCAAACACAGGAGTTCTCACAGTTTCTGCCATTAGGCTATACCTATCCTAGTCACTCTTGGTAACAGACCAACCTAAAATTGGCAGTATAGAGCCACCTAAGAGAATTCTTTGAATAAAACGCCAAACACAAACTGTAAATTAGCAGAAACACAATAAAACTAATTTATTTTCCATTTGAATCTGGATCCATTAGTATAATTAGGCTATCTAGTCTGGCAAATAAAACATCTAGGGCTAGGGGTACAGCAGCCTTGGCACGAAAAAATGGTTGATGGAGCTTCTTGATCAAATAAGGGAATCCGGACCGGAATACTACTGTAGAAATAATTTAAATAACGCAACATAAATTTTTAAACCAAAGTATGAAAATCTAATAACTTAGGTTAAAAAGGTACCTCCCAAAACTATAAACAAAGTTCACCAGTAATTTTGATGGTTAACATTTCCACTAACATATGATTATTAACCACAGACAGACAGACAGACTGACAGACTGCAGTTTCTAAACTAAAGATACAGTGTTACCAATTGGGGGAAATCCTTCTCTTAACCTAAATATCCCTCCTCATTGATTGGATATTCTTTTCTGCTTCTTTTTAAGCCCATGACTAGGCTTTGGTTATGTTTTTTTTATTCATTTGCCAACGGAATACAGCATTTTACATTCACCTTGTAGGAAAATTTAACTCGTCAGACGTTAAACTTATTTATTATCCTATATCAATAATTAATTAATTAATTAATTATCAACGGGACGACTGAACTGATATAATGTCATTTATACAGATAAATTTAACATTTGTTTTAATTTAATAGATACAACAACGTGAACATTTACTCATAGTAAACACAATGTGTTAAGGGCGTGTGTTTAATCCATGGTTTAATTTTCTAAACTGTTTCAACTTGGTGATCATTAAATTAAGCTAAGTTTGAATGCTATTCTTCTGAATAAAAGCATTATAAAAGTTAGATCGTATGTACATGCTGTTGATTTTATAATCACCATAGATAAAATATACTCCCTTAGTCTAACATACAATGCAATGCAAGGGAGTGTATTAAGTTACCTTTTATAATGTTGACTGCCTTTATTTCGTAAGTTCACATGCGCATTCCGCCACAAGAGTGGGATCTTCAGAGTTACACTAAACAATAAATCATACAAAAGTTTTTGAGTCACTCTACTGTTTATCACATCACTAACGTCCCACTCACTGCGTGGTAGAAACATATCTAGCACGAATACTAGAATCAAATATTATAATAGTGTTCTTTTCAAGTATTCGTTATATCTTTTATCAAGCGTCCTGTCGTGTGCGGGATTTGGGATTTGAAAGGATCAATTGAAATCCATTTAGAAACAGGAATTTTAACCAAAAACTCAGTTCACAAGCTCAGCACTGGTAGAAAAGTTTTCCTTTGAAGTAGAAAACTTCATTTGAACAGGCTGAAAAATTCCCAAAATATCAAAATATAAATACAGGTTGCAAAATAATTCAACTGCCTGCCATCATCACTACAAACAAGATTAGGCTTGTGATAATATTTTTATACATATGAACTGTTAATATTCCTTATTTAATTCATGAATTTCTTTATTGTCTCGCAGTTTTTCTTTGTTTACTATTTATATTTTGTATTTGTATGTTACAAATCTTACTTGACTTCAGAGTTTATTAAAACCTATATCCTTAGGTCAATTAATAATGAGTTTTATTTGCACTTCAAGGCTCTAAAAGTTGAAACCAGATCTGAAAACATTTTAATTGATAACCCAATACCAATTTATTAACCATCAAAGAATACAGCCGAACGTAGCCTAAGCTTGGGCCATCGATCCCAAAACCACCCTGACGATTGACGAACCACAGTCTTAAGGACTGTGGTGGTGAAGAAGAAGAAAGTAAGAGGCATACGATAGTATCGGTCAAAGATGAAGACTGCAAGAGTATCAAATAAGATTAAATCTGCAAACATGAACTAAAATCAATGAATCATCATAAATCCTAAGAAGGAAAAATTCATTGATTCTCCCAAAAGACTCCCTAGGAGATGTATATAGTCAATGGTAAAACTGTATTATCTTTTCTGATGAACGGGGTTTATCATATACCTGTGGAAACACAGTACTGGGTTGTGGTGTTCGTATTGCATTGCACTGTTGCTGTCGCATCCACGATTTCTTATCTGAGGGGGCACACTGCACTGTGTGTCCCAAATTAGGACCACAATATTGGTGTAGTCCTAAATCAGCATCAGTAGGTTTTTAGCCCAATGGAACTTGATAACACTGATGCACTTCCTCGCTTCTCTCTCAAAAGCAATTTATTCAGCTAAATTAAGCAAATACAATTAGCGTTAGCCATGTCAAAATAAACTAAAATAAACTGAAGTAAAACGTAAAACTAAAATGCACAACTTAATGTAGTAACATTTGAGATGGGAATGTTGTAAGAGTTTCGGAGAGAATACTTTTGTGACAGGAAGCAACCTCAAACATGTCAAGATTATTTTTTAATAAACGACAGTGTCTCTAAAATATTCAAAGAAGGAAAGGTTAAAATATTGTACTGCCTAAAGATTAGTACACAATTGTTTGTTGTTGTTTTCTAGAGAAGATTTCCTTTAGGGATTTTTTTTTAAAGAAACAATAGCAAAGTCCTTTGGTTTTCACTTCCCCAGACAGATACAGCATATGATAGATATGGGATATGGGACATAGTATGCGGACAGATACAACTTTTTACGAGCCTTTTGTTTCACAGTTCGAAGAACAATAACCCAGTGGAAACTTTCCTGGTTACACTTTCAATGTGGTGGTGAAATTTCAACTACTCGTCCAGTACCACACCAAGACACTTTCATTTTGGGATGAGGCCACTATACTTTGTCATTTAGAAGAACATAAGGCCACAGCCGTTTGCTGACGATGAGCTATAGACGTGTGGAAGTGTAGCATTTAAATTTTCTCTGAGTTTAAAATCAGCTGGTTTTTATAACACCATTGCAGAAGACTGTTCGATTCTAGAAATACCATTAGCTCCAATGATTCCATAGATGGACTGGAAAGGGTAAGGGACCGGCAAATAGGAAAGTCTGCTTTGACGAGCTGACAACATCGATCTCTAGTAAAAGAGATCGATGGCTGACACACTTAGGTAGGCTGTTAATGAAAATAAGGAACAACATGGGACCCAGGACGGACCTTTGGGGCACTCCTCTCTTGATCAAGGATTTTTGAGAAGCACTTTGTCTCAGATAACAACATCAACATCACTTTTTTCTCCATCAACATTAGGTATGGAAACCATCTGTTGTCTCGCTCGAGTTGCTTGCTCCTTGAGCTTTTGGAAAAAGGTGGCTTGCCTTGAGTCTCGTCGTCTTTGACATTGAGTGTTGTTTTGTTGGGTCGTGGGGTCCCAGTTTATCGACATCCCAAAAGATCGACACTGAAATAGTCCCACTTTGTCGACAACTCAAAATGTCGACAGTGTCGGTAATATGGGATGTCTGTAAAGTGGGATGTCGGTTATGTGGGATGTCTGTTATGTGGGACGGTTGTGTAAATTTTCCCACTTTATCGACACGCAAAATGTCGACAAGCAAAACAGATCGACAAAGAGCGGGAGATTCAAATTGAAGGTGAACAGCTCTTGCTGAACAGATCGGTTGAGTATAATGAGAGTCGTTCTTTTTTAAACTCCGAACGACTTCTATTCACGGCGCTTGCAGTCTCCTTCAAATTTGTGAATGCTATCTTAACTATCTTGTGTATATAATATGTGTTCTTCCGTTTGAAGGCTTAAAATAATTTGACATTTGTCGCACTTGATTTATTGACTGTTTTTTTTTCGTGTAAGAAGGTAGTTAAAACGTGCTACCTAGGCCAAACTTTGATAGAGGATGATTATGGTATCCATCCAAGTTTTTTCAATCATACATTTATTTGAAATTATAATGATATAGTACATAGTTTTTTTTCATTTAACTTGCTAGCTTAGTGTTAAAACAGATTAACCCAAATAACAATTTTACGTTGTTCATTGTTACACTTTGAAATATTAAATGAGTTGTAGTACATTTGTATCAGCAACTTACACCGGAAATGAGAAAATGAAAAAACTGCGTTAATTTCCCTCTGCAGATGCTTTGATTCTTTTGTTAACCTTTCCATTGCCAATATGGCGATCCAAGCAATGACAACATAAAATTTTGCAATAATTTCTTTCCAAACTATTTTGTAGAGCTTAAAAACAAATTATTTAGTATATTGAAGCATTATTATGCGCCTATGGTTACGGAGAAAACTCAAACAGTTTTAAATTTAAAATCCCTATGTTATTCTTATGGAGAATAAGTAGGTAAACTGTTGTAGTTAGCTTGTTTATGAACATCTTTTGATCAAAATTTGAAAATGCATTTATTTCATACTAAACTACCTACATGTAATAATATAAAAAAAAAAAAAAAAAAAAAAAAAAAAAAACTTTAAAACCCTCCCTGTTACAACATAGGTACCTAACTCCTAAGTACTTGTTAAACTAATGCAATATTGAAATAGGGAATAATTTTGTGATATTTTAAGGAGATAGTGTAAATCCAATCAAGCAAATGGAAATTCGTTTAGTCTGCAGGTTTGCTGCGGGGGGGGGTATTTAAAATAAATCATAGAGTTGTTGCAGTATTTAGAAACACACATCAGAACCACCTGTAAACTGTAATGGCTGCTTAAGAAACTTAAACACCTTATCTAAATGCAGTAGGTATAAAGAAAATAATAGTATATGCCTACTGTATTACGTTACTAGCCCGGTAAGCGGTAAGGTGTTTTATCGAAGGCGTAGCCGAGTACGGGATTTTCGTGCGACACAATTTATTTAGGACAGAACATAAATTAGATTTTTTTCTGAAAATAAAATAGGCCGCTGAAATTAGCTGTTTATTTCAACAGCTGACTAAGTACACGGTAATACGATATTACGTTACTAGTCCTGAAAATAAGTGTGTTTACCGGACGAGTGTGGTCGTTCCCGTGCGAGACGAAGTCGAGTACGGGATTACCATACGAGTCCGGTACACACATTTTGGACGAGTTACGTACGATAATTTACGTGATATTTTAAAGGAGACACTTTAGTGTAAATCCAGTTAGGCAAATGGAAATTCGCTTAGTATGCAGGTTTGCTGCGGCGGGGGTATTTTACTCTAAAGTCATAAGTGATTTATTCAACCAGATTTACATAAGTTATGCATTGGTTACGTCAATTACAGAAATACATAAAATATATACAAAATTCCTTCTGCATGCCATACATAAGCTATTTACAATTGGTTAACATTTTAAATTTTGTTTGGAAATTCAATCATTATGCCCATGTAAAAATCTTTACCTTATTCTTATTACCCTCATAAACTCATTTTCGCGTATTCCAATTGTGTTGGTTCGCGGACTCATTCGTTGTAGGTTTA